CCAATGTTAACATTACCATCTACTTCTTTGGTGCCTATACCAATGTTAACATCACCATCTACTTCTTTGGTGCCTATCTCCCTACCTGCAGCTGTTGCTGAGGTCCAGGGTTCTGGTGACCCTGACTCTGACTGGGCCGCAGCTGGAGCGGATCACCATTGACAGGGCCCTAGTGGGCCGGATACCAGCGGGCACCATCAGCGACGGTGAGTCACTTCTGCGCCCCAAGACACCTATCCCAGCATGCAATGGGGTGCTGAGTGCTGCCACCGCAGGAGATCTGCACGGCCAAACATAATGGACAGTGGGTCCTCTCTCCTCTAAGCGCCCCTTAAGTAGTGGGGGGAGGGGGGTAAGTACGGCCTTCCTCCCGTCCTCTGCTTCTCTGGGACAGAAGGTGCCTGCACCACGGCAACAAGAAGGACCGCAGAGCCCATCACGCCTAATTGTTTCAGAATCGATTGCTTGTTTACACCCTAACTTGTTCTTAATCGCTTGACACTCGAGAGCAGCTCACAGTCCCACCCGTGCACTTTACCGTTCACTCACAGTGACATGGGACACCTTAATTATGAGGTGGGGGGGGGGGGATGGGGACTAGGTGGGAACTTGTCACATCTGCTATCTGTTTACGGCAGGGGTTAGGGACAGCATCTCTTTGCTTTGAATGATGATGTTGGGTTGCAAAGTCAACCTTTCTCATAAAATTGTTGTTGTTGTTTTTGGGACTTTGAGTTTCTGCAGTGATGTCATTCATTTTTGTGTGTGCCTGTTTCTTTGTGAAAAACAATCGTACTGGATCCAGGCAACTTTTTAGGAACGTCTAACAACTGTAATGGTGTCGTTTTTCATTGCTGTTTACATTTTGTTCAGTCCAGGGTACAGCACTGTCTTAAGATGAAATGGATTCTAAATAACCAGCATCAGCTGATGATAGTGATCAGTTTTACTCTGTTTTGCTGATGGTACAATTAGAAATAAAATATTTTATAATTCTGTGAGAGAAACTCGTACTAGTCAAAAGTCTAGACACACTTGCGAAAACTCACCTTTTTTTCGACAAGATAACGACCCTAAGCGCACCTCGAGGTTATGTAAGTACTGTGTTATCTGGTGAGCAAGGAAAGAGATGGAGTCCTGTGACAGATGACCACAGTCCCCCCCCCACCTAAACCCTATAGAGCTGGTTTGGGATGAGTTGGATCGAAGAATAAGAGCAAGGTAGCCAACTTGTGGTTGGAACCTTTGGAAACTCCTTCAGGACTGGAGAAGCATTCCAGGTGGCTACATCTGGAAGCTGATTGAAAGAATCCCAAGGGTCTGCAGTGCTGTCATTGAACCAAAAGGGGGCTCTTTTTGAAGAGCCTATAATCTGATAACATTTTGAGATACGGAACACTTCTCTTGATCCTGCAATACTTGACATGTGTTATTTCATTACCTTTAGGCATTTACTATGAGGTGAATAACATAGCTAAGATAGAGGCAAATGCAATAAAGGCAGGTATGTCCAGATGTTTGAGTGGTACTGTAAAAATGTGGACCTGTCTGTGCATGTACTCCCACACGCGGGTGGGTGGGGTGGGGTGTGTGTGTGTGTCTGTGTCTGTGTGCTTGCGGGCTGCTGACCGAGGCCACCGGCCCTCTCTGCCTCCCCAGCCCTGATCACGGAACGTTTCCTTCTCCTCACCTTCATCGAGAAGAGCCAGGTCTGCCTGGTCCAGCTGAACAGACGTGATCAAGGCTCACCGGAGCTCAGCCGTCGAGTGGAGAAGCTCTCACCCTCGGAGCTGAAGGTGATTATCTCCCAGCATGCCTCGCTCCGTCACTAGCCTGTCTAGTATCCTTGACCCCTTTTTTACAGGCCTGAATATGGAGTAATTAGGTCAAAATTTACGTAAATTTTTGAACAAGATCACACGACCCTCCCACTTCCTGTGAAGACTGGAACAGCTTAATCTCAGAATAATTTCATTTGGCCGCATGTCTGTGTGTGTCTGCGTTCTCGCGTCAGCTGGCAGGTTATTGGTCAGACCCATGTCACATGACAGGAACCCGTTCGGGTACCGTTGCCCAACAGCCTGTGGAAAAATTCACTGAGCGTTGACGATGCGTCCTGCAGGTGGCGCCAGGGACCGGAATGCATGTGCCTCAGCCTCGCTGTTTCGCGGGGGCACCACTAGGGCGGCGCTGGCAGGGATTTATTTCTTTCTGTGGCGTCAGCTGGGTTTCTGCCGGCAGGAAAGTGGAGAGGATGGGAAAGGGGTCAAGGCTGCCCCACCCTGGCGTAACGGAGAGCCTTTTCCTGCCGGAAATTTGGGCCACGTCCGCATCGAGCAGACTTCTTTGTTGGTTATTTGCTCGTTTGTTTGATTGGCTGTTTGTTTAGGAAGCATTAGCCCCGTTTCGGCGCGCGGAGGGGAGAGGGACGGCGATTCGGATGAGCCCGATTCGTGCCGCGGCCCGACACAATGCACAATGGCGCCGTGGCCCCCTGCCGGCCCCGCGCTCCGCCGTTATCGCATTACTGTCACCCTTTGTCGCACCGCGGTGGGGAATATGAAAGCAATCTGTCTTGCGGTGCAGCTGGCTCCAGAAGCCGGGCCCTGATAAGAGGGACCCCCTGGCCCCAGCCACGGTTTGGTCCAGTAGGCTAAGCTTTCAGTCTAATCCTCCCGAAAGTGGTTTTGATTATTGCTGACCAGCAACCGCTAGCGAGATGGCGGGGTGGGGGGGGACCTGAGTGCATTTTTTTTTTTTTTACTATTAATATTTTTCATTCTTTTAATTTTTTATTTAAAAAAACAGATTTGCATTGGCTACACAGCGCGGAATCTAGCGTGTGAAACTCGAACCCCTGTTAGTGCCATGGAGGCAGGCTGAAGCAATAATGGGTTGGTGGGGGACAGATTGTTCTAACCCCCCCCCACAACTGCACAGCTCCAGCCGTAACCTTGTGATGCGCAGAGAGAGAGAGAGAGAGAGAGAGAGAGCAGCTGATTTCAGCAGGAGGGGACGAGTCCCCAGTATATGCTGGCAGAGAAGAGCTGGTTATTATTGTTATCATTTCCACTGCAGCCTGCCCCCCCCTCTCCAGTATATCACGTGTGGGTTTGTTTCCTCTCTCAGAACTCTTTCATTTTTGGGGATATTAAAATTAGAAATAAGGATTAAATATTAAAATCTAGCGGGAAATGGCAATGGGGGGGGTGTCCATGCCTCTTGGCTGTCTTACCCCTTCTTTTCCTCCTCCACTCCTCCAGGTCTTCTGTGCCGACCTGCCCGGCCCGGTGGGGCGCCGACTGGCCCGCAGAATCGGCCTGAACGGCCCGCAGGACGTGGCAGTGTGCTGGTGGCCGGCCGTGGACCAAGAGCCCTGGCTGTGGTCCCCCATCCCCAGCGAGGGCGACCGGGCCAACTTGGTGTTGCTGAGCTGCGGGGAGGCAGCCAGTGGCCTCAAGGTTAGCTTGGCCCCCACCCTCTGGTCCTGCACCTGTAGTGTCATGTGACTTTATTTACGCGCCCCATCCGCAGGTCTGGTTCTAGCTTCCTGGCAAGATTTGCATATGCTGGTGTTCACTCCAACCTCGTTAATGAATTAAGCCCAGTTAGTTAAAAACGTCTGACATGCAGCAGCCGCCGTGCTGCATTTTCAGTCCGACAATTAGCTCTGGCGTTATCTGACAGGTTATTGGTCAGAGCGACGCATGTGGACCCATGTCACATGACAGGAACCCATTGGGGGTTAGCAGCCTAGCCCAGCCCAACTCGGATGCAAGACAAACAAGCTAGGGGGGGTTTAACAGTAAGAGCGGGAGCGGTGGAGGGGGTGGGGCTCATAGACAAAAAGACGCCCCACGAACTACCCATGAAAATAAACGCTAAACAAAAAATCTGCAACGCCAAACATTTCCGCAGCTGTTTATCATAGTCATTCACCTACTGCCGCTTTCAATGCTTAGAAAGCATTAAAAGCCCCCCCCCCACACACCTTATTTCTAATTAAACTGTTTGTTGTCGTTCTGTGGATCCACGGTGTGAAATTAAGCTAGCGTATTACGCGGGGACCGCCGAGCGAATCAAACGCGGGGGCTCATCAGAGAGACGAAGGCTTCAATCGCTGCGGGCTCGTCCGTGTGTTCCTTTCTTGTGGAGTTCGCTATCTGCGTGCTAAGCCAATTTTCTACTTAGCCGTAGTGAGCGTTTAAAAGTGCTGTTTGTTTCCCTCTGTGGTCTTAATTCGTAGGCCTCGCCGATAAGCCGCAACGCGGCGCGGGGTGGAAACGTGTGCATTTGCGTGGCCGTTTTTATGTTTTTTTTTGTTTTTTTTAACTTTTTTAATGATCTGTAATCCCAGAATTTAATAACTGTAATGAAAAAAAAACACAAAAAGCACATTTTTACATTTTTATTTTAGTTGTTTTTTTTTTCTTTTGCATGATTGCTTCGCACTTGTTTTTTTTTTTGTAATATTTTTTTTTGGTCCAGTTTATCAGTTTATTGCTGAGCGTTTTTTAATTGCGTTTAACGTAGCTTTGTGTTTGACAGACTGAGCTTCTAATTATTTTGTGGGGGGGGGGGTTCTCACTAAACAGGGGAAAAGAAAAACAGCAGGTAGTCAAAACAGCATGGAGCCTCACACGCTGATGCTGAGTCTGTGGGTGGCAGTGGTCACATGATCTTAGTCATCCTGCCTGTGGGGGTGGGGGTGGGGGGGCATTGCCTCAGTTAGGCCGGACTGTTGGGTGTGCATCAGAAATATCCATGGCATTTGGATGATGGCATACAGATCCCCATCTTTCCTGCTTCTCGTCCCTCCTTCCCCACATTCACTCCATCCTTCTTTCTCTTTTTCCTTCCATCCCTCTGTTCTGTAAGCTGAATAATTGGCACTATGGACAGGAGCTGGCCACTCAGCTGGACGACCCGGGGTTTATCTTTCATGCCACAATGCTGGGGGAGGAGTGCAGAAAGCCTGCCCCCCCCGCTCCTCTGCTCCGGCCAGGGCTCCCGGAGTCCCGATGACTTTGTGCCTCAGCGGAACTCGCTCGCTTCAGCTTCGTACGGCTGAATCTTTGTCAACCTAGAGAAAACACAAAGCAAAGTTCCCACCGCTGCTGTTTGCATTGACCCCCCCCCCCCCCCCCCCGCCAAGCCAGCACAACTAGCACACTTGGGTAGGCTGGCGTTTGTGGGTGCCCCTTGGCTTGGCACGACATTTGGGAGGCTGCATTAAAATGATTTCGGCGGCAGGATGCCATGTTTTGTCCTTGGGGGGGGGGGCGTGTTTCTACTGACTTTGGCGCACTAATCACTTTCCGCTTATATACGCTGTGTCCCCGGATAGCCGAAGATTATCCTCGTCTGGTGGCTGTCAGGCCATCACGCCAAACGGGGTGATAATCATGAACGCGGGAACCACAACGCAAGGCTGGCAGCCGAACTAAAGCTGTCCCCTTATACATGGGCGAGGTCACAGGGGCACTGGCCCCATCTGAAAGCTCATTGGCCCCTTTCTCCTATCACTCACTGATTCAAAACATGTCATTGGCTAATGATAAGGTTGGCCCCTCTGTATGAATTATGGTTCCTGTTATACTCCCCACCCTAAAAAAACATCCGTTCTGACCCAGTTACAGACCTAAATACACCCTGAGACAGAACGACTAACCACAAGTTTGATAACTTAAAGATGCAGTTTTTTTTAACATGGAGTTGGAGCCTCACTGGACCCAGTGTGGGATCCAGTTGAACTTGGACCAGTTGAGAGCTGTGGCCTGTGGCAGGTGCACCTACACCCGGCGGCTGCTGCACACGCTGGGCCGCTGTCCCAGGGTCCCTCCTGTGCTCTGTCAGCACTTCATTTGCCCCCCCACTACTCTTCCTTCCACAAGGCTTTTTTTTTCCCATTTCCCATAATCCCTGGGGACAGCTCTTGCTGCTTCCCCCAGGGATCAGCCCAGGGGATTATGGGAGAAGAAATCATCTTGCCTGCAAACAGACAGGCAACCCGCTTAATACCTTTTCCTCTGGCACCCGCTGACAAACTGGGGGGGGGTTTACGGACTCTGATCCGCAGTTGTGTCCGGACAGCGAAATGTGCCGTGGTCATCACAGGGGTCCAACCACATGCGCTGTCAGATAGGGAGAGTCCTCCTATTCTCACAGGTATGTGTTTATAGACTGGGCCCGTTCTGGAGTCAGTGCAGCTGAGACTCTCGCGGACCTTCGCTCTCTGGCGTCTCTGTCATCAGGGCTGCTGACATCGTCCTCGGCTCATCCTGCCCCTGAATCGGACCTGAACTTTCTCACTCTCCAAAGCAGATTATACTCTGCTTCATATTTGCAAGGATATTTCCCATATTTGTTAAAGATATTTTTGCTCCGGTGAAAAGGCCACTGAAAGTACTGTAATGTTTCTCACCTACCAATCATAAACACCGAATAACTGGTGCATCTGTGTTGCAAGTTTGGAGGGAGTGAAAATGTGGACTACCGGGGGGTCCTCAAGGACTGGACTGAGAGGTCCAGAGTGTGCGGTTTCCCCTTATGAGCTTTTACCATGGTGATGTCATTACAGACCTGTTCCTTATAACGCCTGAACCGTGGTTCTGCAGGTTCTGAGCTGCGTGCGGACCGAGGGCAACCCGCTGGACTGCTGCTTCAGCCTCCGGCAGCCATACCACATCCTCACGCTGGAGCTGGCGGCAGGCGGAGGCGGGGCGGTGCTCAGCTGCAGGTTCGAGTGCGCACGCGGGCACCCCCAGCGCCTCTCGACGGACCGCGTGTCCATATCTGCGCCGCCCACCTGCTGGTGCCGCGATCCGGCGGAGGACTCGCTGCTGCTGGGCCTGTCCGACTCGTCCCTGGTGCTGTGGAATGCCCGGCGCGATGCCCGCCTCTCTGCCCGCACACCCATTCTGCCCGCACTGATGGCCTGGCACCCTGCAGGTGCCTTGGTGGCCATCGCCAGCCCCCAGGGCGAGCTGCAGTGCTTCGACGCCACCCTGGCACCCGTGGGCTTGCGGCTGCTCGCAGAAGATCTGGCACCACCCCCTGGCCCCTCCCTCTGCCTGTCTCGACACATGAAGGCCTCGGGGGGGCTGGTGGGCCTTCAGTGGGCCACGCCCAGGCTACCCGCTACCCCCAGGGCCGACGTCACCCAGGTGTGCGACCTGCTGGGCCTCAGCTTTCACGGGGGACCCCTGGGAGTGCTACGCTTCAAGCTGGGTGAGAACCCCCCCCCCCCCCCCCCCCCACCACGCAAGATCCACAGTTATTAGGCTGGATGCCACAACAGCAAAAAGCATCAGACCTGATTTCAGTCTGTCTGCATCCACCTCCGCTTTGAACTAGAACTGTTTTATTTAATGACATGATAATTGTTCAATATTCTCAGACAGTGAAGTGAATGAGTCAGAGTTTCGGCAGATACAAAGTGAGACAGTGCGTCTGCTCATCAGGAAGGGGTGGCTTGGGGACAGGCTCCGCTTGGGGCACCTGCTTGGGTCCTGAGAGAAGTCCAGGGGCTGGTCTGTGGGTTAATCCCCCTTTCCCATGCTCCTCTTTGTTAGTCCCCTGGAGGGGGGGGGTTTAATCCGAGGGCAGACACTGACGAAAGACTCAGGAGCTCAGCCTGATGATTGACCGGCATCACTGGACCCTTTGTGGCCCCCCCAGACCTGGCTGATAACCGCCGCATTGTCATTTTTCAATGGCCGATGTATGACCCCCCCCCCCCCACGCTCCCTCCTACTTCACTTCGCCTCCATTTTAAATCAATTTTAGATTTGGGGTGACTGTCACCTGGCTGTCCCGAATGAGCCACCTCCCCATGTCTCTCCGCCCGGGCGACTTGGGGCTGTGACAAGGTGCCGATTTGCTGATGCTAAAATGCTAATTGCCGCAGCATGGTGGGATGTGGTATGAGATTTCAAGTCATGCCAAGCTGTCACTGCGCAGCTGTAGATCCTATCTGTCTGCGTGGCTGATGCGTCCGATGTTGGGTCCACCTTCCAGGCGCCCTGACCGGTGGCCAGCTGGGGCCAGCAGAGGTGGTTCAGCAGAGGCTCCGCTGCGGGCAGGTGGAGGAGGCTATAGGCCTGCTGGGGAACATGGACTGGAGCATCATGGGAGCTGAATGCCACCGTGGGCTGACCGGCATCTTAGACCACCTGTTCAGGCTGGAACTCAATGCGCATACGGAGGGTGAGGATCTCAGGGCTTGACGTCTGCAGTAAATGTGGACCTTGGGTCTCTTCTCGATGTGGCCTCCCTGTCATTTCTGAGCTGGGTTCTAAAGACATATTTCTCTCATTCAGTTTCAGATGCTGGTCTGGATGCCCCCTGACCTATTGATGATATTCCTGTCTGTTTTTGTTTTGGTCTTTAGCTCGGCTAGAAGCTACTCTAGGCATGTTCTACGCGTCGTCTCCGCCTCTGTCAGATATGGTGATCCTGGAGTACCGCGACTCCATCTGCAAGTATGCCCGCAGATTTTTTCACCACCTGCTCAGGTGAGTGCCCCCTGGTGGTCTTCCGCATGCACTGCATCCTGTGAGGTTAATATCGGACTCCCAAGGGCAGGACAAAAGAAAAAAACAGAGGCATCTGTAAACAGCTCAGGGCTGGACTAGGTAAAGTATTTCAGTAACTAGACAATAATAAAAAGAATAATAAAAAGAAATCGCTTCAAAGCTTCTTTCTTAAGGTGGCGCTATCCTCAGGTTCTCACATTCGTTCCATGTTGTTCTGTGGGGTAGCACAGCACTGGGATATAAGAGGCTGGGTTCCTACTGCGATGAGAATTCAAGACACTATCTTATCGCCCAACTGTGTTGTTTATTATGACATGAAGCAAAAACCGCATTCTTTTGGTCCAGAATTGACGGAAGAGTTTGCAGAGGGTGTGGCGGAGTTATACTCCCCATCTGTGATACGCATTCTGACTGCGAGTGCACGCGTCACTTCTGTATTGTCTTTCACAAAGCCCTTCACCCTGTCCTCTGCATCATGGTACCTCTGTGACTCGCCCATTTATAATACCTCTCGAAACTCAGTCAACCTAGAGATTCCTAAGACAGGTTCTCGCTGCTACTTTTACATGGGTCTCCTCTGTAGACGTACTTTGAATTCTTAGTCTGTCGTTAGTCTGATTTGGTGTCTAAACTCCATCTCCAGGTACCAGCGATTTGAGAAAGCTTTTCTACTGGCGGTAGACATCGGTGCCAGAGACCTTTTCATGGCAAGTATCTACCATGTATCTCATCATCTTCCAGTGCAGGAAACCCTAAGTAGGGGATACCCTGGACTGCATGTCATCCCCCAACCCCTGAGGTGTCGGGCAGCAGTACGGCTGCCCTATATTTTTATAGTCTGTCCAACGAAAATCATTGCGGCCTCAATGTCTTTTTTAGCATTATAACGTAATCGAATTGCATTTAGCACCTTGAGCATCGCTCGATGTTTCCCCGGCTGATGGGAATGAGCTGGAAACAGTCCCAGTCGTGGCTCCAGTGTCAGAGCTCGGGGCTGTTCCCTTCCCCTCCTTCCTGTGCCTCGGGGTCTGCTGAGCCCCGTCTGGTGTGTGTGCCGTGCTGATGTTCCCCTCATTCCTGCCCTGCATGCTCTCCTGTAATCAGACCCAAAGTTTCCGGCTCATTCTCCACCAACGGGTTCCGCCGTGGGGAAGATCGAGTAGGTGGGGGAAACTTGAAGTTGGGGGAGTGGGGTTGGGGACTCGTATCTTTCAAGGAAGTAAGAAATTATGAATGTGCCCATGAGCTGCTTTCGAGACGCTAAAGAGGACAATGGGTCCAAGACAAAGACCAGAACCTTTCATCCCACGTCTCCTTCAATGAGCCACAGAAGTGAGATGGAACAGTCTTTAGCACATGGGCAGATACACATAGAGGTCTAGTGCTCCAAGTAGGTCTCCTTGTTCCATCTACAGCATCTCTTACGGTCATGGGGTATCCAACTTGCAGCCCCGAGGAATTTGATTGTTGTAAAAGAAACAATTAAAGTGACATTAGAAGGTCTTTGTTAGCTGAAACGCATTTTGTGTGAGGGGGGCGTTGGCACATGCTTGAGTATTTTTGGATTTTTTTTTAGACTGCATTCTCCGGCTCCAATTACTCTTCGATAGTTCCAGGATGACGTACCCAATTAGGTCACCCGTCAGCTGTCAGTGTCTGCATTGTGTGACGGCTTTGTTTGTTAACGACTCTCGTACCCCACCTTTGCCTCCTCGGGGCGGTCAGGCACAAGGCCCGTCGTTGCGGCGCACCAAGGCTGTCTCGTTGGATTAGACCGGAGTGTTACCGGCTGACAGGCCAAAACAAGTGTCATACTCTGTTGACGGGTGGAGTCCTGCAGGTATAATGTGAGACGGGATCCAACTCTTTGGTGTGTTTTGCTCGCCTGATCATGCTTGGAAGACTCTACTCATGAGTGATTCAGCAGACGTGGCTGTCTGTTTAGTCCAGTTTGTTTTGTAGGGAGACCTCTTATGGGGTTTTGGGTGGTTGTGCTATGAATGTTTATTGGGAGGGCAGGTCACTCTACTGCTAACATCAGATCTGTTTCCCAGATTTATATCAGCGCTTAAATCAGTTTCGCTGAGCAGAATCGACTAACACAGGCTGGCCAGCCAAACTAAAGGTGGCCATATACTTCAAACGACATCTGCACAAAACAAAATTGAACGTGTTGGCACGAACAATCTGTCGCAAACTTAAAACGATGCCGCCACCTTGAACTCTGTCACACCACAACCCTAGAGGGCTTAAAATGTTTTTGGTGCAGCAGACTCACGTAGAGAGCGCAAATAAACGGATTGGGACAAATGAGTGAGTCACTTTAATAATGGATATGGCTACTCTTTAAAAATGGAAGTTAGTGTAAATTTATATAATAGATACTATATTTAAAGATGCACATGGTGCGCTGCAAAGCATGCTGGTAACTGCATAATTAGTCCTGCTGACCAACCCCACAGCATCACATTTATGTCAGCCAATCATGGACAGTGGGTGGGATCAGAGCAAACAAACAAACTTTGCCTCGGGGACCCTGTACAGGGTGCCGAAACGGTTATCACCGCGGTGATTACGGCTCATAGAACGTCGTATTGCCAAAAAAAATGTTGATTCTGACAATTTTTGTTGAAGTATACAACCATTTTAACAGCTGGGAATGGTCACAGTCATGGCTACCAGCCCCCTCCCCCAGGTTGAGATGTTATTTACACAAGAGGAATCATATTCCGATAATTACTGTGTGGCCAAACACCAAATTTTGGGGATTGGTTGATGCCCCCAGATACCCGTTTGTAGAGATGGAGCAAGTTTCCTTTTGGCACTCTGGTTTCCGTCGGCGATAAAGGTAGGTGTGTGTGTGTGTGCACGTGCGTGTAGAGGTATAGGGCTTGAAGTAAAACTGTGACAGTGTCCAAATTCTGGTGCGGTTCTGGACTTTCCTATCAGGTGACACCCCCCCCCCTCATTTTTTATAGTCCAATTTACAATCATAAGTGAAGGTTTGCGAAAACAGCGTGACTGATTTAAGAAGCCGCAGCGCGTTTGATCCCTGGAAGCCCGATGTTCGCTTCAAACGGGTCACTTTCCTTCCACCTCCTGCCACAAACTTGACAACCGGTAAATGGACAATTGTCATTGGAGTCCAGATTCATTTTAGATTAAGCTCTTATTTTGCTTTACCCTCAAAGGACATCCATTACATGGCTCAAGATAAGGGGGAGCTGGTGCTGGCTGAGGTGGCGATGAAGAAAGCCAACCAGATCGACGCAGACTTTGCAACCACAGGTCCAGGTAGGAGAATAATGAAACCTGTGGTAAAACATTTCATACACCATCCAGCTTCCAGCAGCTTGCAATGCAGGGATCACGCTCTATACGGTTCCCTTGGACCCTGAGACTCTCACTATTTAGTTCCTACTGCCCCTTGTGGTCAGAGGAATGTGATTCTGGCATGAATTTACGGCAAAAGGCAGCCGAATTATAGGAGGGAGAAGTGATTTGGGTTGAATGGAGAAGGCGAGTGGAGAAGACTTGCTGTAGGGTGTGGAAGCTCGTTTGGGAGCAGTGAGGGGAACCTGCTGTGTCTTACTGGTGAGGGACCTCCATACTGAGTGTGGAGTTCTTTGGTCTTCATCGAGAGCTTCACATTTGTGCTCTGACAGTCTCCCTCCTCCCCTACCCCCACCTTATCCCACCTCTTATGGTCTGAAAAGCCTATTGACTCCAATGCTTTAGAGAGGTGGTCCTCAGCTTCTCGACCAGGAACCAGCGAGGCATTCTGGATTCCTTTGATCCCACAGGAGGCTCCTATTGATCCCAGCCGAAGTGCCTGGGAGTTCTGGGGGTTTTTTTTGTGCTGAATTTGTTTGTGTTGCCAGGGGAGGAGCTGTATTTGCAAGGAACAGGGAGCCATGGGCGTGACCCTTCTGTGACTGACAGCGTGACGGAGCAACCCAGAGACAAGGCAGCGAAGCGGAAGCCTCCGTCAACGGCCAATGACAGGAGTCGAGTCCTACCGAGGCCGCACTGTCAAGAAGGCGTGCCTGCCCGGTGAGCAGGCTGTCGGGCCCAGTCTGTGCGCTGATACTTCCCCGTGGGTGTCAGGAGTGGAACATCTGGTGATGTGTGTTAGTGTTTTAATGAAAGAAACTGATCTGAGATCAGTCATTACTTTTAGTATAGCAGTTATACGACATGGTACACTTCACATTCACCAGTCGAAAGTCCATTTCCAACACAGATGTGCTTTTTCCTTCTTCCATGTTTTTTGGGAGGGGTACTAATAGTTTTAGCCCCCCCCACAATTCATTTGGCTTAATGTGGATCTCTGTGTATTACTGCAGACTGGCTCTCAGCATTTCACCCTAGTAGGTGTTTCATGATTGGTGACAGTACAGCTGCTGGCTACAGCGTAGCCACATGTTCTTTTAAGCCCCCCCCCCCCCCCCCCCTCTCCTCAGCTCCCCCGCCTGTCTGCCCCTAAATCCTCTATCCCCTGCACTGGCCAATTTAAACAGGCGCAGCCCAAAAAAGATGGACCAACTTAAGCT